TGTATTGCACAAAGTTCAATACATGAGAAGTTCTCAATGAATGATGGAGTAATGAAGGAGAAATGCTATTTAATATGCATATGAGATAGATATTCTGCAAGATGACCACAATCCCCTCATCTCTGCTACTCTTCCATGGGAGAGATGAGTCTATGTCCTTTCCTCTTGAACCTAGATGACGCCATCATTTTCTTGGACCACAGGATGAGGTAGAAGTGACACTTAAAAGCCTGGCAGTTTCTACTTATTGTCTTGGAAGAGAGCTGCCACTCTAAGGAAATGCATGCAGACAACTGGAGGAAGAGAGTGTGACACTGAGAGTGACAGCCAGCTCCAGTCACTGTGCCGTGACTCATTCCTGACTCACATCGTCATGAGTCATAAAATAGTTGCTGCTTTAAACCATTACGTTTTGGGACACTTTGTGGTGTAGCAAAAGTAGCTGAAAAATTGGACTCACATTCAGATCACAAGGTCTTTGCGATTCTCTTTACACCATTGTTTCTGAGAGGTCAGCCTTGCTGGTAAGAATCAGCATGGTAGCTGTGTGCCTACAGGCAAGTAGCACTTTCCCTTTAGCTAGCTTGGGCATCCTCAAAGGAGTCAGTATTATTAGCACCCAGTTTCCTTGTTTCACATATTAACATTTGAAATTTTATTATGTATTAATTCAAGCTTTTTTTCTTCAGGCTTCATTAAGTCAGGATTTTGTCTCAATTTCCAGTGATTGTCTAGCTGCCTGACATAGATGGTCACTAAATTTTTGCTGAATGAATCATTCTCTGTTTCACTATTCCCACCTGATAACTCCCAGCCAACTCTCCCTTCCCCAACCATTTAGAATGCATTCTTCCTCCCCACTACTGTGCTGTCTCTTGCCCCTTTCCCATGTAATTCTCAAATATGCCAAGTCCACATGAGCCCCATCTCAGCCCAATGGGGCAACCTTTGATTTACAGGTAATAGCAATGATCTGAGTCCAATAATGATGCCATATTTTGTATTCAATTAGTGAATAGGTTCAGTGTTACTTTCTTGTCTGTTTTCTGATGGTTTCTCTCAGATATCCAAGTGTATCCACTCTTTGTAGCAACATTATGATAAAAAAAAAAATATTGCCATCTAGTCTGTGTGTTAAGTGCTATGTTAGCCACTGTTATATGAAAAATTAAGTCTAGGCTTGAATCTCAGGGACTAGTGAGTTCTAGATAAAAGGATGAAATAGACAAAGAGTATGCACTTTCGATATTACATATTTCAGGCCATGGATAGATATTTTTTTTACCTTTCATCTTATTTCATAAGGGGAAGATTAGTCCCTTCATATTCTCTCTATTCAAATCTACAATCAAAACTTGTTTTTAAAAGCATTCATTCTACGACATAAATGACTGATAACAATCTCAATTATGGCCCCAACCCTAGCTTCCCTGGGGATTTTGAATTTTAACCAAACATTTACAATGCGAAAAGAAACAAGGCTGGCAAGATTTAGACTTGGGAGCAGTCAAGCCAGGTTCCTTCTTGTAATCACACCACTCCATACAGCAACAAGCCCAGCTCTGGTGGGAAGCGTTTAGGGTAGAGGGAAGCATGGGGCAGTAAGAAGGCAATGTCTTGTCACAAAACACAGGAGGGGTGAGCAGTGATTACTCTGAGTGGTGGCCCACTTTGTAATCTTGGAAGATTGCTATCACACAAGGGGCTTCACCTCTCAGTTGTATATATCACACGCATCATAGCCACCTCCCACTCTTCCATCCTAATTCCACTGCTCTCCCACAGCCTAGAACAGACAGATAGATAACCTCTTCTTCCCAGGACAGTAGTTGTCATACTAAAAGAGCTCACGCCCCTTGTGGCCGCTAATCAAATGGCACATTTATTCTTCTGTGCCGATTCTGCCTGAAAAATTGTACTTAAGATAGCTAATAAGAACAAATACCATCTCACAGATGGTTCAGCAAAAGCAGTACCATCTTCCTTAAATCTCTGCTCACTGTTGCTGCCTTGGAAGCTTCCACAGTGAGTCCTATACACAATTAACTGTTGTATTCTTCAGCACTGTGAGGCCCAATCTCATAGGCTTATAATAATTATTCATAATTACTCCCCTTAACTAGATTGTGAGCCTGTTGAGGACAAATAATGTATTATTTTTTCATTTCTTTAATTCTCATTGTCTAACACAATGCCTGCTATTCATTATATAGCCAATAATGATGGAAGAAATGGTCTTTGACTCATTTGGTGTCAAAAGGAATCTGTAGACCACAGAAGGGTGGATGTAGGGATCTTTTGCTCTATTGGGCAGCCTAGTCAAACCCCAAAGCCAACCTCACTGCCACAAAGGTGATTCCAAATCATGGTGACCCTGCAAGACAGAGTAAAACTAACTGCTCCTTAGGGCTTCTTAAAAGGTATGGTGTTATGGACTAAAGCACTGGACCAAAAGGTCAATTTGAACCACAAGGTCAGCGATTCAAACTCATTAGCTGCTCCTTGGAAAACCCTATATAGGGTCGCTATGAGTTGGGACCAGCTCGACGGCACTTAACAGCAACAAGGTCTTTATAAGAGCAGAGAACTACATCTTTCTCTGCCAAAGTGGTTAGTGGGTTTGAACTACCAGTTAGCCACCAGGGCTTGTTTCCCTTCCTGTTATCCAGCTCTTATTGTTGCTGTTGTTAAGTGCTGTCAAGCCAGTTCCAACTTATCGGGACCCTGTATACGATTTTCAAGGAGTGACTGGTGGATTCGAACCATCAACCTCATGATTAGCGCCACACCAGGACAAAGGTAGCCCATTGATTCCGAATGCTATTTTTCCATAAAATCCTTACTTCTCCAATACTAACTCCCTGAGAGATCCAGTTCCATGAGGGAGGCTAGAACTAGAAAATCAGAGTCCAACTTTTACTAGAGGACATCAGGATCCAAGCAATCATGCCTTATGTCCCCACTGAGCTCAGTCACCACCAGAGACCCAGACTGCCAGTCGGTCACCATCTGGCTCTGTATCCAGTGTTTTGTCCCTTCACAAACTTGTTGAGTGAGCTAATGAATGAATAAATATACAAACTTCAGGAGGGAGTAAGAGATGGGATGCAGGGAAGTAAGTAAACAGGCAGTGGCTCAGGTAATGAGTTGTTTGTTGTTGTTGTTAAGTGCAGTCGAGTCGATTCCGACCCATAGCGACCCTGTACAGGGTTTCCGAGGAGCAGCTAGTGTTTAGATAAACTAAAAAATGTGATATAATTCCAGGAGTAAAGTAAACAACAATGATGAGCAGGCATGATGGAAGGCCAGAGAGTGAAGTGGGGGTGATCTCTGTAACAGCATTTCTAAATAGAAGTATATGCAATGAAAAAATGTTCTCAAGCTCTGTGGTCCAAAACAATAGCTACTAGTCATGTGTGACTGGTTAGCACTTGGCAGGCAGCTAGTAGACATAAATTTTATTAATTTTAAGTAACTTTGAAGAAGCCCTGGGGGTTCAGTGGTTAAGTGTGTTGGCTGTTAATGGAAGTGTTGGTTTGAAACCACCGGTAGCTCCTTGGAAGAAAGATATGGCAGTCTGCTTCCATAAAGAATTGTAGCCTTGGAAACACTATGAGGCAGTGCTACCTGCCTTATAGAGTTACTATGAGTTGGAATTAATTTGAAGGCAGTGGGTTTGATTTGGTTTTAATTTACTTTGTATTTAAATAGCAACATGTGATCCGTACTATACTAGTAGAGAGTACAGTCCTGACACCTTCTTCCCACTTGTGATTTCAAGATGCTAACACTTAACTTCACTGAGTTGCTGAGAGGACTAATGAAACAAAGTGCCTAGTAAAATGTATGGCACTCAAAAGTCAACAGCTGCTACCACTACTGTACAGAGTTGCAAATCAAAGTAGGTGAAGCACAGGCTGTTTAAATGTGGCTCTAAAGCATTGGAATGGGGCTTTTATTAATTCTTATGAAGACTTTTCCGTTTGCTACAGTTAGTGGATAACTAATGTGTGGATCTATATTTAAACTCACAAACTAAAAATAACAAACAACTATTTTGGGATCTCATTGAAGCCATTTAGAGATAGATGATTATTCTAAGTGGATCAGCTTGCTGATGATACTCCCAATGAGCTAATTAGTTTTGACAACAGCTAATTTAGCATCTGTAAAAATTGGATTTGTAAAATTATTGTACTATTTTCAAGCAGTAGCATCTGCAATTTTCTGGATGATTCCGGATAAGAGTAGTGAACTCCTGGTGTGGCGCTGTAGGATCAGCACTGGACTGTGAACCACAAAATCAGCAGTTCAAAGCTACCAGCTGTTCCTTGGAAACCCTATACAGGGTCACTATGAGTAGAAACCAACTCAAAAGCACTTAACAATCCAAACAAAGTAACACTATTAGAAACATTATGGTGACTTCTTTAAGGCTTAAATTGATTTGTACATAAAATTATTATTTTTATCCTGTTAGTGGCTCACCATACTTTCTTCCATATTGAATCTAGAAAATAAAATTAACCAAGATACAGAGTACAAGCAGATCATTATAACTAGCACTTACAGGATAATTGAATCTAATATTAGAGGCTTGATTATTTTCCTGTCAAGAGGATTTGCAAATCATAGCAGAGGTTAAGTGTCATTACACAGCCCTTGCCTAAGGACACAGTGAAAGACTTGAAAGAGGACAGATGTATTTAATTCAACACATGCTGAAAGGCATTAAGAAAAGTTGACATTATTATTAAGGAGACCAATTAATCTGCATCAGCTGGAAGCCACTTTACAGTATTTGAAAAGTCGCCCTAAGACACAATATAAGGAGACAATGCAAATCCACAAATTTGCAAAGGAACCTTTCCAAACTGCCCGGGTAGCTTTGCTATTTGAAATGCAGCTCTTTCCTTTTCCACTCCTAGTTGTGTTCTAGAGTAGCAGAAGGGGAAGAGGATGAAGCTCCCAAGAAATAAGATGAGATCGTTCAGACTTACCAATAGGCATCACTAAGAAAAAAGGCAGCCAGCAGAGGACGAAGCAGCCGACCACAATGCCTAGCGTTTTGGCCGCTTTCTTCTCTCTGGAAAACTTGAGGAGCCTCACTGAGAAGTTTGTCTTGTTCTTGGCGCTAGACGTTCCGTTGCCCCCTGTAGGGACGTTTTTTCGATGGATGCGGAGCGTCACCTGTTCAGAGTCCGACTTGTCGGTCTTGAGGCCGGACTTGAGGCCCCGACTCTCCCTCTTGGCCACCACATAGACTCGGCAATACATGACTAGGATGATGGCAAGAGGGACGTAGAAGGAGCCCAGAGCTGAGAATAGCACATAGCCTGGCTCCTCCGTGATCTGGCAGATAGTCTCATCGTCCGGAGCCGGCTGCCTCCAGCCGAACAGAGGCCCTATGGAGATAACAAGAGCAAGAGCCCAGACGCAGAGTAGAGCCATGAGACCCCTCCTCTGCGTCACAATGGTAGGATATCGCAGTGGGTAGCTCACGCCGATGTAGCGGTCGATGGATATAATACAAAGTCCCATGATGGACGCTGTGCAGCACAGGACGTCCACTGCCGCCCAGATATTGCAAAAGACCCTGCCGAAGGCCCAGTAGCCCAAGATCTCGAAGATGGCAGAGAAGGGCAGCACTGTGGAAGTGAGTAGAAGGTCGGCCACGGCCAAGTTGACGATGTAGTAGTGAGTGACCGAGTGCAGATGCCGGTGACAAGCCACCGAGAGGATCACTAGGATGTTTCCTAGCACCCCGAAAATGATAAGGCCGCCCAAGATCACCCCGAGCAGAATGGCCTTAGAAATGTTCACCGGTGCAGGCGAGTGAGTGCAGTTGGAGCTGTCCGAGGCATTTCCGGAGAGAAACACCATGGTCCTTTGTCGCGGGCCGGGAGAGGTCCGGCTCTCGAGGGCCACCCCCCAGGCGGGGGCGGAGGCTGCAGCAAGATAGCAGGAGTCAAAAGGTCTGGGCTCTGGGGAGTCCTACCCCCAGGGTTTGGTTGGGGGTGAGTAGGAGAGCGCCGATGGGAAGCAACCCCAGCCAGCCCTGGATACCCTCAGAAGGTACACTAAAGGGGCAGGGCATTAAAGACGACATGGCCAGGGACACGCGGGTTTGAGCGCGGACCCCCTCCACCCGGAAGCTCAAGGAGACAAGTTGTAAATAGGCAATCCTGTAAATTACAGGAGTCCGCTTTCCAGCACTGTCGGATCCGTCTGGGTAGCTAGAGGATACAGCATTCTGTGCACAATTTGGAATTCAGAACTCCATGCGTCAGTTTTCTCCCAAACCATGGCGAGTCCAGGTCTGCCGTCGAAGCTCAAGGTCGGGGACTCCTGGCATCTGGGCGCTGCTTCCCGCCCGCAATCAGGGTGTCCTGTCTCTGAAGAGGAGGAAGAATGGGCTCTAACTCAACCCAGATTTTAGGCCGACGGGTCATGGGTGTGAAATGTTTGCCAGGATCCCGGAGGCTGCTGAACCAGAGATAGCCCGCTTCCTCCTGAAAGAGCCCAAAGAGAAAGGTTGCCTGTGAACCAACGGCCCTGGGGAGGGTGACGTGCCCACCGTGACGGGCGGTGGAACCCTGACTGGGAGCCCTGTGGACTCTTCTATGGAGGAACCGCTTCTCCAGGCCTCCGCGGAGGTGACGCGGGGTGGGGGTGGAGGTGGAGACGCGCACTCAACCCCTGCCCCCTCCCACGCCCTAGCGGTTGGGAACCTGCTTTCACACGCTCAGCGGCGAGTCTTCCCGCCCGGTTCAAGATCCGAAAGAAAAAAAACTCCTAGAGCTGCAGCGCCCCACGGCCAGATCCGAGCTCCAAGACCGCGAAATTAAAATAACGCAAGCCCAGCGGCGAGACTGCGGCTGGCTAGTGTGTCTCTCCCAGCCGGTGGAATTTAAAGGATCTATAGGGTTGCATTTTGAACAGATTGCTTCCTAGTCACCTCGTGGGGCGACCTGGGAGAAGGAACCTCTGTGACCCTGGAACCGACCATAGGGACAGTGCCATGCGCACGCTCACCGCCAAGGAATTCATACTTGGGCTCTGCGGAGCGCGTAGGTCCGTGAACAAACCAAACGAGCCCGAGAGCCAGGTCCGATCAAAGTCTGGCGGATCCCGAGGGCTGGACACGACCCCAGGTCGACCCAGGGCTGCTTTCCAAGCCACAGGGTCTGCAATTCGCACAGGGCCCCAGCTAGATGCCACACCCGGGCTGCAGGGGAGATGCGGAAGGAGGGGGGTGGGCTTCCTTCCGCGGAGAGGGCTTTGTAAGTGACAATCGCTGCAGATTTTGTAGGCGTAAAATCAAGGCGGCGCGCCACTGGATTTTCTGGGCTGCAAAAGAACCCTGTGGTTTCATAACTGTCAACCGACCATGGGGAATCAGACGTAGAGCAAAGGCTGTGTTTACCTAGCCTTCTAAAGATTACGGGGTTGGTCCCCGAGGCAGGGTTCCGGGCTACTGTGATTCACAAAGTTAAAACCTTCCTGACTGTCCTGAAAACAAGCAACTACAGAAATCCGTTTTTCCCTACTTTGGGGCGACTGTTATGGGGTTAGTTAACAAGACACTTGTTAACTAGGAGCTAACTTCACAAAATGTATGAGAACAGGGTGGGAGAAGGAGTGCTGGTATAAAAATGGGTGAAAAAGAGAGGGTCTGGGGATAAGTGGGGTTTCCATCTCACCTGGAGGTCGGGGGAGATCTGTCCGCATCCATCCCGCCCTTCGGGAAGGGAAGTCGGTGCCCTGTTCCCAGCGCCTCTGCTCACGCACCTGAAGAGCCGAAGCGGAGTCCCACAGCTCGCGCGCGCGCGCGGGTGGGAGCGGACAAGGCTCGGGTCCCAGAAGCTGATTTGTCACCTCCTTTCTGAGAAGGGGGAGATAGGTGACCGTCTCTCAGAAGATCAAACCATAGCTAGGCTAGTCCTTTTGCTCCAAATGACTCACCCCTTCTACACAGATGTCTGCAAGCTTTTTGGGATCGCTATCACTTTACCTGGAAATTTCTAAATAATGAATTTTTTTTTTTAAAAGGAGGGCGACCAATAACTCCACAATCACCCTTTTAATATTCAGTTCTCAGACACCAGCAAAGAACCGCAAGGAACTTTGCAGCTCTCTGACGTAACACTAGCAGTAGCCCCAGCTAGTACCGTAATCTCCTGGTGTTACCGTATTACGCTGCTACAACAAACGCCATATATTTTTTTCTTTTTGCTCCTGCCCAGAGTTGGTTGGGGCTTTACTGATTTAAAAACAGATAGACAAACTAAAGATTGTTGTTGTTAAATGCCGTGGAGTCGGCTCCTACTCATAGCATAACGACCGTGTATATGAATTCCTAAGCTTTAAATCTTCACCGGAGCAGAAAGCCTCATCTTTCTCCTGCGTAATGGCTGGCTGACAGGAATCACGAACCTTGTGGTTCACAGTCCAGTGCTTATCATATGAAGCCACCGTGCTTCCAAACTAAAGGCTGGGAGGGAGTATTTTTACTTGTCATAAATCCGTCTTTAAATGATCAGATTTTTAAAATAAAACCTGACACCCCGGCCAGACAGATTTTACTGGGGTCCGTTCGACCAGCAAGGTGGGCAGTTTAAACTCACCAGCAGCTCTTTAGAAACCCTGTACAGGGTCGCTAGGAGTCAAAGGCACTTAACAACAACAACAATGGTGTGTTCAAAGAAATGTCCCATACATTTACTTTGAATAGCTTGATTCCATTAACACTTTGGCTAAGTTCTGTTAAAACCAAGACAAAGTAAATTGTTATTTTCAAATGTTTTAAGAGGCAATTAAAGTCAACAAAATTCAATAAACCTGATCACAGTAAGATATTTTTAGAAATATTAAGTAAGCATTGTTGCTGTTAAGTGCCTGGTGGAGTTAGTGCCAACTCATAGAGACCCTTCATAGGGTTTTCAAGAGCAGCTAGTGGGTTTGAACTGTTGACCTTATTTATGGTCAGCACAACTAGCAGTTCAGTGTCTATCCTATCCTGCTACACCAGGGCTCTAATTAAGAATATCTAAGTCTTATTAAATATAACGGATTTCACATTTCTTTAAAACAAATGCATTAAAGGGCATGCCAGTCATTCCGTTGTTTCTTACATGATTCAGTGTTTTCTTAAATGATTTAGTATTTTTAAAGTTCTACATGTTCTTTTTCACTTCTAATTAGAAAACGTTTCTTTTGGAGAGTGTTACTTCTCTTTAATTCTCTTCAATTCAGTAATAGTTGAAATCTTAACAGCTAGAATAGTTTTATTAGCATTCTTTCCTAGAAATGCCATATTTTACTTATAAATGAATGAAGCCATATATATTTATAAATATTAGGGGAAAGATTAGAATATTTTTCCAATCTGAGTCCCACCTTCTATATCATGTTTCATTTCTATTTTTTTCTGATAAAACACAATGTTCTTTTCTTCAAGTATTTACTAGATTTCCTTAAACCTAGTAATAAAAACAGTATTTTGAACAGTTCTGTGCACTTCTTCCTTAAGAAAAGCTTAAAAGCATTCTTGTAGCATAGTGAGTTATCAGTTGGACTTCTAACTCCAACGTCAATAGTTCAAATCTATCAGCTGCTCTGTGGAGAAAGATGAGGCTTTCTGCTCCCATAAAGATTTACAGCCTCAGAAACCCTATGCGGGTCTCTATGAGTTGGAATTGACCACACAGCACATAACCACTACCACCACCAAGTGCTGTGGGCTAGGCATTGGTCTTCTAACCTTAAGGTTGGCAGTTCAAACCCACCAGCCACTCTGAGGGAGTAAAATAAGTCTATCTGCTCCCATAAAGATGAATAGTCTTGGAAACCCTATACAGAGTTACTATGAATAGGAATTGAGTCCATGTCAGTGGGTTTGGTAGAAGTGAGACAATGTTTTGTTGTTGTTATTAAGTACCTGTGAGTCAATTCCAGTTCATAGTGACATTGGCTAGGATTTTCTAGGAACCACTGTTGGGTTAGAACTGCTGACTTTGCAGTTAGCAGTTCGGTACTTATCCCGCAATGCTACACCAGGACCCAAAAACAAGGTTTGGGAGAGTCGGTTATAGCAATAAAGCTCAAAATGCCTGTAAGGAATGCCAATGGGAGGTCAGGGAGGCAGTACTAGGGGACCGAATACTTAATTCCTGTGTACAACTCTTCTTCCCTCCATAACGCTATATAGTGGTGGTACCAACACCTATCCCATTGGATTTGACTTTAATGTTATTTTAAAAATACATATGAGTATACAAATGGCTTGCTTGGTCATAAGGTAAATTTTATGCTTGTAAGGAACATGCTTGGGTAGGAGATAGGTAACCTGGGTTCTTCTAGCCCTAATTCATATTGCTTTCTCTGGGATATAGTTTCCTCATCTAATATGTATATAAAATCTAGTCTTTAAAGGGATATAGTATTGCTTAGCTTCATATTCACTAATTCTGTGTCAAGAATATGAGTTCTCCATTAAGATCTGTTCCCTAGTAGATAAAGGAACAACAAGAAAAGCAACTGAAAATTGCTCAGCTCCGCAAGGTCAAAATTGGTTAAGGTCTTTGCAACTTCCAGAGCCTCTACTAGATCTACCTCTCTAAACACAAAAATCAGCACAAGGTTAGAGGGTAGACACGTGTTAGCTGGAGTGGTGAGTAGGACAATATACAAAAAGAAGGAGGTTGGTGGAAGAATGATAAAGACAGGTGAAGACAGAGGGAAATTTGTTAAAAGAGATAGAGGTAAATAGTGTTATATACACAACCCTGGAATGACAGAGTTCTGTAGCTAGATACATGCACAGAGACATAGGCTGAAGGGGTAAGGAAAGAAGAGTGAGAATATACCAACAAGTATATAAGGATTTGGAAGAGGATATTGATACATGGGTATTTACCTTTACTGAAAACACAACCATGAATGTGGTGGAGCTTACAGCAGGCAAAATGATGAAAACTTCTCAGATATTATCAAACATCTTATGGCAATGAGTTGCTGGGCCTGAGGGTTTAGGATCATAGTCTCTGGGGACACAATGGTTAACTGGCATAACATAGTCCATAAGACAGTGTTCTATATCCTACTTTGTTGAGTAGTGACTGAGATCTTAAAAGCTCATTAACAGTCATC